AAAAAAAAAAAAAAAGAATTATTCAACTGTTAACAGCTCTTTTCGAATTTGTTTTTCTGTTTTTACCAGAAAACCCCCATGGGGGTAGAAAATTCTTCAGACCTCTCCTTGTCAACACAAGGTGGAATATAAGTAAAACGGGTAGATATATCTTTTGATGCTTAGCCCAGTGACTGTGATTGCATAGCACCAGTCTGGAATATTCTTAGAATCTGAACCTGCAGTTGCTTTGTCTGGGCATGGTAGCTCACGCCTGTAATCCCAGCACTTTGGGAAGCTGAGGTGGGCGGAAGACTTGAGGTCAGGAGTTCAAGACCAGTGAGGCCAACATGGTGAAACCCTTTCTCTGCTGAAAATAAAAAAAAATTACCCGAGTGCAATGGTTCATACCTATAGTCTCAGCTACATGGGAGGCTGGGCATGAGAATAGCTTGAACCCAGGAGGCGGAGGTTGCAGTGAGCCAAGATTGCACCACCACTGCACTCCAGCTTGGATGACACACAGCAAGACTTTGTCGCAAAAAAAAAAAAAAAAAAAAAGATCTGCAGTTACTTTTTCTCCATTCTTATGCCTGGCACTCCAAAGTCACCTACTTTGTTTTTCTATACAAGACCTTTTAGACTAACAGACAAGTATCACATAGCTTTAAATTTGAGGAACAGGGCCAAGCACTGTGACTCAAGCCTGTAATCCCAGCATTTTAGGAGGCCAGGCGAGTGGATCACCTGAAGTCAGGAATTCAAGACCAGCCTGGCCAACATGGCAAAACCATGTCTCTACTAAAAATACAAAAATTAGCTGGGCATCCATGCCTGTTGTCCCAGCTACTCAGGAGGCTGAGGCAGGAGAAGCGCTTGAACCCAGGAGACGGAGGTTGGAGTGAGCCGAAATCATGCCACTGCAGTAAGCCTGGGTGACAGTGAGACTCTGTCTCAAAAATTAATTAATTAATTAAATTTGAAGAAAAGGAAAAAAACAAAAAGCAACCAATCTATTACTTTCACAACAGGCCATAAAGTCTGCAAAGCTAGCCTTATGCTAAAGTTTCAACAGGGACTTGGCTTCTGAAAAAGTAGGTGTTGAACATTAGAGATGAGACAGTTATATTGCGAGGACTTCTTAACACTTGCTGTTGTAGTTCACAAACCACTATGTTTCCTCATCTTTCTGGAGCTTTCTAGGCAAAGACTCCCTGAGAATGGATAGCCTTGGGCAGAACTGTGAAGTCATCACAAATGGCCCCTCATTTACTCCTTTCTCTCCCCTGAAGTTCCTACCCTAGTCAGACCTCCAAGGTTCTTACCCTTCTGATCCATCCGGAAAAGAGGTTTAAAGTAGGAATTCTCAATTATCACTTTAAAAGTGCTATGGAAGAATGGCTGGGAGAGGTGGTGTGCCTGTAGTCACAGCTACTTGGGAGACTGAGGCAGAATTGCTTGAGCCCAGGAGTTTACGTCCAGCCTGGGTAATATAGCAAGACCCCATCTCTAAAAAAAATTTGTTTTAAGTGCTATGGAAGAGCGTGAAGATTAAACCAAAGGAATGAATCTCTGACTGGTAGAACTTCAGGGACTTTGATGAGTGTGAGAGGTCTCTGAGTGAGAGGGTCTGGCCGAGCGTGGTGGCTCAAGCCTGTAATCCCAGCACTTTGGGAGGCCGAGGCGGGTGGATCACGAGGTCAAGAGATCGAGACCATCCTGGTCAACATGGTGAAACCCCGTCTCTACTAAAAATACAAAACATTAGCTGGGCATGGTGGCGCGTGCCTGTAATCCCAGCTACTCAGGAGGCTGAGGCAGGAGAATTGCCTGAACCCAGGAGGCGGAGGTTGCGGTGAGCCTAGATCGTGCCATTGCACTCCAGCCTGGGTAACATGAGTGAAACTCCGTCTCAAAAAAAAAAAAAAAAAAAAAAAAAGAGAGGGTCTTCCCAGTGGCTGGAAGCTCACTCTTTGATGGCAGCCTTCTGCAATACATGCCATAAGAGCTGACCTGCTCTTCTAAGCTTGCCAAGGCGGGTCTTTCCACCTATGCAGCTTGTTTACCTTTAAGTCAATGGTACAAAAATCATCATGTAATTGTTGGCTGGGCACAGTGGCTTATGCCTGTAATCCCAGCACTTTGGGAGGCTGAGGTGGGCAGATCACCTGAGGTCAGGAGTTCAAGACCAGCCTGGCCAACATGGTGAAACCCTGTCTCTACTAAAAATACAAAAATTAGCCAGGGATGGTGGTGTACCTTTGTGATCCCATCTACTCAGAAGGCTGAGGCACAAGAATCACTTGAACCCAGGAGGTAGAGCTTGCAGTGAGCCAAGACTGTGCCAGTGCACTCCAGCCTGGGTGACGGAGACTTCATCTCAAAAACAGAAACAAAACAAGAAACCTGTTACATAGCACATTTTGATGATATGTGACTAGTATAGCTTAAAGAAAGCCACGTGAAATAAAGTATTAAACTATACCCCTGTGGAATCTTTTGATTCACAGGTAGGTATGTATAAAAATCAAAACTGGCCAGATATTAAACCTTACATTGAGCAAAGGTAATATGCTTTAACTAATAGACATGTCCAATAAAAATTTCAGATCCCTAAGTAGAAAACTTACAAACATGTTTGTTTGTACGTTGCTTAAGTACGCAGATAGCAACGTCATGTGACAATTCAAAGGGAATCCCCTTTCTTCTAATCTCAGGGTTTCCTTCTGGATAACTCTCCCTGCCTGTGCGGATTAGGGAGCCCGGGAAGCCCGTGTCAACTTTTCGGTTCTTAGTCTCGAGTCACTACTCTGCCCTGTACTGTCCGGAGGCTTAATGGGAGCGAATGCGTGGCAGTGAATTCTCTGCTCTACAGTTTTCCCATTCTTCCACGGTCTTCAAAAAAGGGCTGTTTGCTCTTGAGCTACGCCTAAACTGAGAAGCGGGAAAGGCCAGCCCCGCCAAAGGCGGACGGGTGGCCGAAGCGAAAACCCAGTTAAGGGCAGGGACTGCCCTGGAGAGCAGAGAAAGGGAAGGTTAGCTGGGGAAAGCAGCGCCCCTCGGAAGAAACCGACACCGCCCCGCAGGCCAAGCCAATGGGCGCCACCCGGCAGCGCCGGGAACGCGCGCCGACGCCCCGCGCTCCTCCGGCGTCCGCCCGTCTCCGCGCGCCCCCTCGTACCCCGCGCGCGGGGGGCGGGGACGGCGGGGGCGCGCGCGGGGCCGCGGGCAGGGGGGCGGGGCGGCAGAGCTCGGCGGCTGGGACTGGAAGACGGCGGCGGCGAAGGCGACGAGCGGCGGCGGGAGCGGCGCTCAGAGGCCGGGAGGGACGCGGGCGCCAGGACCGGCCGAACGCAGAGGTAACGCAGGACGGAACAGGCGGCCGGAGAGTGAGCGCGGGCTCGCTGGGTCCCGAAGGCGAGTGGCGAAGGCCGCTCGCCCGGGGCCCCGAAGCCGCTCCCAGAGAGGAGGGGGCGGGGTGCCCGGGTCCCCGGAGGTGGCGCCTTTTGTTTGCCTTCTCCGGCCGCTCCGCCCTCCTCCCTTCCCCTCTCCTGCGACCTAGCCCCTTGCCCCTCTCGTGGACGCCTCCTCAGAGGCCCTCCGGCGCGCGCGCTCCCGCCCTTGTTTTGTTTGGACTTGGGGGAGGAGGGGGAGCTCTTCCCTGGCCGTGCGACCCTGCGTCCCAGCGCGCCTGCGTCGGCGTCCTCCACCCGCCCCGATTGGCTGTGGGTTGCGCATGCTCCGAGGCCCGCCGCGGCCCGGCGTCCGCCTGCGCCCTCCCCTCACCCCACTCCCTCAGCGGTTTTCGGAGCCGGTTCGAAAGATGCCGGCGGCGGTGACTGGCTGCGGCGGGCCCGCCCCCCGGGTTCTCCGCCCCCGCCGCCGCCATTACGGAGCTCCCAGTGGTGAGTGTGCGGAGCACCGAGGCTCGCGTTCCTCCGCTGCTTCTGTCGTCCGGCGGGCGCCGCGGTTTCCCTGCCGAGCGTGAGCCCCGAACTGTCACCGCGCCGAGCCCCCACCTCATTCGTCGGTGTCTGCGGTCTCGAGCTTTCCCCGCCTTGCTGGCGGCCGGCGTTCTCCCCCGCCGTGCGCGTTCGCCGCTGTGGCCTGTAGCTGCCTCGCCTCTCAGCTTTGTCTCCGCTGCTCTTGCCGTCCTCCCCCGGCCCTCTGCGGGCGGGGCTGGCGGCTGTCGCTTTGCTGCTCCGCGACGGCGGCCTTGAGTCTCGCTTCCCTGGTGGCAAACCTAGAACTGGTTACTTGCCACCTTAGGCGGTGGGATCTGAATGAGAGCAGTGCCTCGGTAGGTCACCAGAAAGTCACAGTCCATCTGAGCGTTTGTAAGAGATAGAGGCAGGAGTGGTGAGGTGAGAGCCCCAGATCCGAGGGTTGGTACCGAATTGACAGCTGTGACCAGGGACAGCCACTTACCCTTTTGAGAGAGTTCACTCCCGGACGAGGTGAACTGTGCTGCCGCCTCCACGTCCACGTTCTTTTTGTTGTTTATTGCACTTCCTGACTTTGCATTGCTTTGAAAAGTGAGAATCCAATTCGAAATACATCTGAAAGTCACCTGGGGCTTTTTGAGCACTCTGTCTAGTCTTAGAGTGAAAGTAGACGTGACTAGTGTCATTTTGAAAGATGCTCTCATTTTGTTTTATCTGGCATCGGCATAAAACTTTAGCTTTTAAACTTTTCATTGCTCTTCTCAAACGTTACTGTGATTTGTCTCAAAATAGAAGTAACATTTTTAAGTTTGGTGGGTTGGTTGGTTTTGGCTTTGTTTTGTTTTTTGAGACGAAGTTTCACTCTTGCTGCCCAGGCTGGAGTGCAGTGGCGTGATCTCGGCTCACCGCAGCCTCCGCCTCCCGGGTTCAAGCGATTCTCCTGCCTCAGCCTCCCGAGTAGCTGGGATTACAGTGATGTGCCACCACACCCGGCTAATTTTGTAGTTTTAGTAGAGACAGGGGTTTCACCATTGTTGGTCAGGCTGGACTCGAACTCCTGACCTCAGGTGATCCGCCTGCCTCGGCCTCCCAAAGTGCTGGGATTACAGGCGTGAGCCACCGCTCCCGGTCGATTTTGGCTTTGGTTTTAAGCTTACTTGGAAGATTGTAGGTCTGGAAGTTGGTGGATAAATTATACTGATTTCTCCGTATGTAGATCAAAGTTTTAACTCCTTGCCCAGTTATTTTGTTGGGATGAGACACCCTGTAGTGTCCTTAGCGTCTGTGCCCAAGACAGACACTGAGTATATGCTTGCTTACATAACTTAACTGAAATTTGAAAATAAAAACAAAAGGTGCCAGCGATCAAATTACAGGCATGGTTTTTGTGACGTGACTCGTTAAATCTGAGTATAATGAATGACATTAGATTGGGAACGGTGTGAGGTGTTCAGTGCCTCACTAATGACATGTATCACATATATTTTGGGGTAAAATGTGAAATTATAATACTTTTTCTAAAATGCATATTATCAAGGATATCACTAAACTGAATTACGTTGTTAAACGCCTACTCACTTTTCTACTACTTTCTCTTAATGTAGAGGAAATAAAACTGTGAAATTTGGGGCTTTTTATTTCTACAGTCCTTTTTTTTTTTTTTGCCTGCGTTAAAATAATTTAATGCCAGGCATGATGGCTCACACCTGTAATCCTAGCACTTTGGGAAGCCAAAGAGGAGGATCGCTTGAGCCCAGGAGTTAGAGACCAGCTTGGGTAACATAGGGAGACCCTGTCTCTACAAAAAATACAAAAAATTATTGCAGTGTGGTGGCACGTACCTGTAATCCCAGATGAGGTGAGAGAATCACTTGAGCCCAGAAGGTGGCAGCTACAGTGATCCCTGATCATGCCACTGCACTCCAGCCTGAGACCCTGTCTCAAAATAACCGATTTAATTTAAGCATTTCCCTTGACAAAAAGCAAATCTTTATGTTGTTATTCTGACATTAAGTTTAAAAAGCAAACTGATGTTCGTAAGAGGGCCATGTAAACCACAGGTAAACTCAGACTGTTTTTGGCACATATAAGGTGAAAAACATGAGTAAACTTTATTTGTTCATCCTTTAACAAATATTAATTGAGCATCTATTCTGTGCCTGGTATGTTCATAGTCATCAGGTATGCAGCAAGTGAACGAGGTAGATGAGATCACTGCCAGGAACAAGCGTGGCAGCCAAAAAATCTGATCATTCAGAAGTGCAATAGCAAAAAGTTTAGTTAATAGGTACACTGGGTCAAATGTGGTGGCTTACATCTGTAATCCTAACACGTTGAGAGGCCAAGGCAGGTGGATTGCTTGAGCCCAGGAGTTTGTGACCAGTCTAGGCAACATGGCGAAACCCTGTCTTTACCAAAAAAAAAAAAAAAGAAGCCAGGCGTGGTGGTGCATGTCTGTAGTCCCAGCTACTAGGGAGACAAAGGTGGGAGAGTCACTTGAGCCTGGGAGGTTGAGGCTGCAGTGAGCTGTGTTACTCCAGCCTGGGTGACAGAGTAAGACCCTGTCTAAAAACAAAACAAACATAGGTACAGTGATATTGAGGCAATGTGAATTAACCATGCATATACTTAGCTTTGTAATGAACAGTGAATTTATTAAACAGCCAATTACCCCAACTATTCTAAAGTAAGTACTACAGATTAAAGCTTTGAAGTTCTATGACTTTTACTAAGGAAATGCAGAGCTGAGGCTAACATATCTTTTTTTTTTTTTTTTTTTTTTTTTTTTTTTTTTTTTTTTTTTTTTTTTTTTTTTTTTTTTTTTTTTGAGATGCAATCTTACTCTGTCACCCAGACTGGTGTGCAGTGGTGTGATCTCAGCTCACTGCAACCTCTGCCTCCTGGGTTTAAGTAATTCTCCTGCCTCAACCTCCTGAGTAGCTGGAAATAACCCAGCTATTCTAAAGAAAGTACTATAGATGGAAGCTTTGAAGTTCTATGACTTTTACTAAGGAAATGCAGAGCTGAGGCTAACATCTCTGTTTTGTTTTGTTTTGAAATGGAGTCTCACCCTAACCCAGGCTGGAGTGCAGTGGCGCAGTCTCAGCTCACTGCAGCCTCCGTCACCTGGGTTCAAGTGATTCTTCTGCTTCAGTCTCCTGAGTAGTTGGGACTACAGGCATATGCCACCACTCCCAGCTAACTTTTGTATTTTTAATACAGATGGGGTTTCACCATCTTGGCCAGGATGGTCTTAAACTCCTGACCTCAGATGATCTCCACCTCAGCCTCCGAAACTGCTGGGAATACAGGCATGCGCCACTGTACCCGGTCCTAAGATCTCTTAATATTTATCCCAAATAACTGGGTTTTAAGTGTTCTTCAGATATAATGAATGTAGTAATAAGTATTACCAGATATTGTTATTTCAACTTTTATTATTATTATTGAGCCAAGATCTTGCTCTGTCGCCCAGACTGGTGTGATTCTAGCTCACTGTAGCCTCAATCTCCTGGGCACTGGCAGTCCTCCCACCTCAGTCTTCCAAGTAGCTGAGACTTATAGGCACATGCCACAGTGACCCACTAATTTTTTATCTTGTGTGTGTGTGTGTGTGTGTTTAAGAGACGGGGGTCCCGCTACGTTGCCCAGGCTGGAGTGCAGTGGCTGTTCACAAGCGTGATCCCACTACCGATCAGCACAGGAGTTTTGACCTGCTCTGTTTCCATCCTGGGCCGGTTCACCCCTCCTTAGGCAACCTGGTGGTCCCTCACTCCCGGGAAGTTACCATTTTGATGCCGAACTTAGTGTGGACACCCGATCGGCATAGTGCACTACAGCCCAGAACTCCTGGGCTCAAGTGATCCTCTCACCTTAGCTTCCTGAGTAGCTGGAACTGCAGGCATCACCCCTGCACCTCGCTTATTTTTTTTTATTATTATTTTTTTGAGGCAGGCTCTGCTCTGTCAGCTCGGCTGGAATGCAGTGACTCAATCTTGGGTTGCTGCATCCTAAATTTTCTGGGCCAAGCAATCCTCCCAGTCTCAGCCTCCCAAGTAGCTGGAACTAGAGGTGCGTGCCACCATGCCCAGCTGATTGTTAATTTCTTTTAGAGACAGGGTCTAACTGTATTGCCCAGGTTGGTCTTGAACTCCTGGGCTCAAGTGATCCTCCCACTTTAGCCTCCTGAAGTGCTGGGATTACAGATGTGAGCCACCACACCTGGCCTGTTGTTAAATTTTAATTTATTTTTGGTAAAGACCAAGTCTTAACCATTTTGCATAAGCTAGTTTTGAATTCCTAGCCTCAAGGGATCCTCCCACCTCTGCCTCCCAAAGTGCTGGGGCTGCAGGCATGAGCTACTGCATCAAATGGGAAAATATTTTTTTAAGATGCTTGTTAATGGAGACTCCTGAAGGTTGTTGACTTCACGGTAGCATTTTCAGCCTAGCTAGTATTATCATGGGTTAATAAAGATAAATTTGTTGGCAATATAACTTTATTAAGGACAACCTGATTGTGATAATTGTTTTACTTCTATATCATTTTTGTATGTAAAAATACCAGCAGATTTGCATAGGGCTTTTTATTATCAAGGAAAGTATATTACTATATAATTGCTAATTGGATGAATGACCAAACTTATATACTAAAATTATCCTGATAGATTTTTAGTTGCCACAGACCTAAACAATGTCCTTAAACCAACTTGACCCTCTTTTCACAGATTAGAAAACAACTATTATTATTATTATAGTTTATAATTTCTTGAAGTTAATCACTACATGACCATTTTATGTAGTTTTTATAATAATTTTTGCTGGGCAGTGGCTTATGCCTGTAGTCCCAGCACTTTGGGAGTCCGAGGCAGGAGGATTGCTTGAGCTCAGGAGTTCAAGACCAGCCTGAGCAACATGGCGAGACCTCACATCTACAAAAAAAAAATTAGCCAGGCATGGTGGCATGTGCCTGTAGTCCCAGCTACTGAGGAGGCTGAGATAGGAGAATCTCTTAAGCCTGGGAGGCAGAGGTTGCAATAAGCTGTGATCACACTGCTGCACTCCAGCCTGGGTGACAGAGCGAGACCCTGTCTCAAGAAAAAAAAAATTGGCCAGGCATGGTGGTTCACACCTGTAATCCCAGCACTTTGGGAGGCCAAGGCAGGCCGATAACAAGGTCAGGCATTTGAGACCAGTCTGGCCAACATAGCAAAATGCCGACTCTCCTAAGAATACAAAAAAAATTAGCCAGGCGTGGTGGTGGGCGCCTGTAGTCCCAGCTTGGGAGGCTGAGGCAGAAGAATCACTTGAACCCAGGGGGCAGAGGTTGCAGTGAGCTGAGATCACACCACTGCACTCCAGCCTGGGCAACAGAGCGAGACTCCATCTCAAAAAAAAAAAAAGAGAGAGAAAAAAAGAAAAAATTTAATATTAATGAATATTCTAGTTCACTAAGTTTTAGTGTGTTACACTGCACTGAATTCTTTCAGCTGCCTTTCCTTGCAGCTGATTGACAGTTGACAAGTCAGGTATTGCTTTTGGTGTTCCCATAAAAAGATTTTGCCCTATAAATGTGACTGCATCCCCTATGTTTGAATTTTCTGGATTTATTCTAGTTGTTTTAGGTTGGGACTGTTACTTGGCAAGTTGAAAGCTCTTAAATACTTAGGCAAGGTTAGGGCTTAATGTAGAAGTGGAATGACTGTCATTCCCCAACTCTTTGTTAATAGTTCATTAGCACAGAGACCTAAACACTTAAGTGGTCTTCTTATTTTATTTATTTATTTATTTATTTATTTATTTTTATTGAGGAATTTTTATATAAAATGTCGTTGAGTCCCAGATGAGATTTTTGGGAAAGAAGGGGTGTTAGTGATCAGGTAAACTTGGGTGACTGCATGGGTTTTATCTTTGAATATTTATATTATTCTGTACTAGCTTTCCTTACATTAAAAATATGACAGTCATAGAAGCATACTTTTATTCTCCTAGGTGATGGTCTAAATTTGCTTCTGTGGGTCTGGAGGCTAATAGAATGTCATGTTATTCAGCAGTATTTTTGCCTTTGTGTTATCCCTTAATAGAAGAAATAAAAGTATTCATCTAATAGAGATAGAGTTTAAGATTACAGGTAATTTTGCCAACCCTTTTGAGGACAGTAACAACAAAAGCCCTTCTCTTGGTAAATTGATCTTTGACTAAACATTTGACTAACTGTTCCTTAGTCTCCTTATTCTATGCTTCTAAATTCCTGATGGTAGCAGGAGAGAGGATGGGATTAGACTCCTTATGAGCTTCCTTGCCCTTGTTGTCTTTGTTCATGTGGAAGGTGCAAACAGCTGCTGTGGCTTATGCATTCGTCTTAGTCGCTGCTTTATGTAGTCTACATTTTGATAGTTTTATCTTTCTGAATAACCAAATCATCTGTCACTTAACTATAAACTTTATAGTTATATTTTTTCTCTTTGGATGTCTGTTAAATTTAGACGTTTTAGTTTAGTTTTGTTTCTGTTAATCTTCACACCAGGTCTTTTCTGTGCTTTAGGTTGATTCTTCACCACACTGAAACCATTAGGAAAAATCCTTGTGGTTAACAGCAGAGGCTTCAGAGTGTAACCTGTACTCGGGCCTAGAAATTATTTAAAATGGCGACTGATACGTCTCAAGGTGAACTCGTCCATCCTAAGGCACTCCCACTTATAGTAGGAGCTCAGCTGATCCACGCGGACAAGTTAGGTGAGGTAGGGGCTGACACATTCTTGAAGCTCACTCTTGGATCAATCCCTGACTTCAGGCCCTGCTGGGTCCTTCTTGGTACATGTTCCTTCCCTTACTTTGGGGAGTCTAGTTTGTGAATTTGGAAAAAAATCAGATACAAAGTTCTTTTCATCTTCCCTTTCCCCTCAATTCCTGAGAAAACCTCCAACCTTCTAAATTTATAGCAAATCAACTATAATTATGTGTTTCCATTTGAAATTCAAGCTAAAATAACATACTTTAAAAAGTATTTCTTAAAAATCATATTCACTTCAAAAAACTTGTTAAAAGTAATTTGCATCAGATCCTGGAGTCGACTTGAAGAATTCTCCTACATCTTCTAGCACCCAGTTAGGCCCTTTGAGAAAGAGAGAAAAGAGAATTTTTTAATGCATGTTTGATTATGGCCATCTCTTTTCTCAGAAGGTAGAAGATAGCACCATGCCGATTCGTCGAACTGTGAATTCTACTCGGGAAACTCCTCCCAAAAGCAAGCTTGCTGAAGGGGAGGAAGAAAAGCCAGGTAAAGTAAAACTGCGACACCACTTAAAACAGCAAAAAGTTTTACTGCAATTTGGAGTGTCCCATAAATTCCTTTGAACTTAATTGTTCTTTTTTCATTACTGTTTTGGGGAAACATTTAGAGAGAGAATCAATAGCTATTGGTATGTCATTGCCAGACCATGTGGGCAAAGAAAGATTTCACTTTCTCTGTAAAGATTTTTCGAAGGTGAAAATGTTATGTTGGAATTAAAAACAGAAAAATGTTTGGGGATGACAGAAATGGCCAAAGAGTAGCATTCTGGACATAAAGTGTCATGGGGATGAATGCACTGTGGGAGAATGGAAAACGTGGGCCTTCAGGGTAGATAGTGGAAGGTTCATCCAGACATCATCTGGAGGCCTTAAGAGAAGCAAATGGTAATCTGTTGGTCTGTAACAGGTATCGCTAGAGAAAAGATTGGCCAGTCAGTGGTGGGAGCATAACAAATGGAAAGAAACATAGACCCATCAGCATGGAGTACTAGTGCTCCTCTATGGCATCTGTAACCACCCCTTCTTCTTTTCCCGTCTTTATTTTTTTTCTCAAGATCTTTTTTTTTTCTTTTTCCCTTTCTCTCTTGCCTTTTACCTCAAGTTTTTCAGGGATGAGCACACTGTGCTGCCCCTGTTGTGGCTGTTAGAATCAGTTATTTGCTGACCAGCCTGTATTAGGAATAGAGGGCCCGGCACAGTGGCTCACACCTGTAATCCCAGCACTTTTGGAGGCTGAGGTGGGCAGATCACCTGAGGTCAGGAGTTCAAGACCAGCCTGGCCAACATGGTGAAACCCCATCTCTACTAAAATTACAAACATTATCTGGGCATGGTGGTGCACGCCTGTAATCCCTGCTACTCGGGAGGCTGAGGCACAAGAGTCGCTTGAGCCCAGGAGGCGGAAGCTGCGGTGAGCTGAGATCACACCATTGCACTCCAGGCTAGGCAACAGAGGGAAACTGTCTCCAAAAAAAAAGAGGAATAGAAAATACATGCATCCTTGTTGCCTGTATCTCTTGGTGTTTGCATCAGGGCAGACATCAAAAACCAGTCAATGTATTCTTTTTTGTCTGAGCCGGGATTTTGTCTCTGAATCCTTAGATGAATTCTCTAAACAATTTGGGTACCCTAGCCTAAGGCAGTAAAGAAACATGGGAATCCGAATATTTTAAAAAGTAAACGGGTGCTGGTAAGTTGAAGATAGATTATCTTGTCCAGCACTGGGATAAGCCACTTGGTCTATCTTAATCCATGTTTATTTAACAGCCAGCTGAAGCCACTAAATCACTAATAACATCAGTTTTCAGAATACGTGTTAGAGGGTTCAGATGCAGAGTATTAGAAAAGTCAGCCAAGAGTTTATAAAGAAATAGTGTCACTTCACAAGTTGTCTGTTTAATCTTCTCTCTATCCCATTTTGTACATAGAAATTAGACTTTATTCATTTTAAATTTTGTAAACTCTACGTTTTACGCAGAAACAGACACAGTAGTTTAATGAGTTGGAAACAATGTCTTATACATACAACATATTCAATATCTGTTGAATGACTGAACCTTTATTAAGCCCTAACTTAAGCAGTTATTGAGAAGAAAAAAATAATGTAAAATTAAATTTATGGGTTTTTTTTTGTTTGTTTGTTTTGAGGTGGAGTTTCACTCTTGTTGCCCAGGCTGGAGTATAATGGCACGATCTCGGCTCACTGCAACTTCCGCCTCCTGGGTTCAAGTGATTCTCTTGCCTCAGCCTCCCAAATAGCTGGGATTACAAGCATGCATCACCACGCCCAGCTAATTTGGTATTTTTAGTAGAGATGGGATTTCTCCATGTTCGTCAGGCTGGTCTGGAGCTCCTGACCTCAGTTAATCTGCCGTCCCCGGCCTCCCAAAGTGCTGAGATTACAGGGGTGAGCCACCTTGCCCAGCTGTCTTTTGTTTTGTTTTAATGAGACAGAGTCTTACTCTGTTGCCCAGGCTGGAGTGCGGTGGCGCAATCTCGGCTCACTGCGACCTCTGCCTCCCGGGTTCAAGCGATTGTCCTGCCTCAGCCTCCTGAGTAGCTGAGACTACAGGCGCGTGCCACCATACCTGGCTAATTTTTTGTATTTTTAGTAGAGACGGGGTTTCAGTGTGTTAGCCAGGATGGTTTCGATCTCCTGACCTCATGATCCGCCCACCTCAGCTTCCCAAAGTGCTGGGATTACAGGCATGAACCACTGTGCCCGGCCTATAAGTCTTACTACAGTAAAACCCAGTGAATGATTCTTAGCTTTTCATCTTTTTTAGAATAAGGCAAAGTATAAATAAACATGACTGACTAATAGTAAATTCTTGCCCATGCAGCCCATGCAACAATTTGGGTCAAATTGTTGGGGTAAGGGGCAGTAAAAGATACATTATGGTAGAAGCGGGAGGAAAAAAAAGATTCGTCATGATGAAAAATACATTTTATTGTGGAAAACTTAAATGCAGTTATTAGCCGTATCCCCACCTATCATTGTTACATAGTGCAGTTCTATCCATAATACTTTGTGAACCTGAGCATATGGGAAACAGTTCTAGAAGCAGTAGAGAAGGCCAAAGGAGGACAAGAATCACTTGTTTAGCATATAAGTGTTGGCCCACAGGCTTCCCTAAAGCATTTTATATAATCCTTATAATAACTCTGTGAGATAAGGATACTAAGACTCAAACATCAAAGACCTTTCCTTAAGGTTAGCAATCTATAAAGGTACAGAGATTGAACTTGAATCCAGGTGAGTCTGACCCTAAAACTTCAGTTTTGGCTGAACAGATATATGAGGAGTTTGATTAGTCTAATCTATGCAATTTTACTTGAAGAGCATAATCTGGGACAGGATTTACAAATTGTAGTTAACTGTTCTGAGATTTATGGTTTAGAATTTTAATTAGTTGAAAATCTGAAAATTCCTTTAGAATTGTACTTATGTGATTTGATTTTAAGAAGTAGTGGCATTTTAAAATTCTCATTTATGTGAAGCCCACAAAGAAGTCCTTATCATTAGTCCAATAATTAATTCACATAATTAAATTGATCAGATTCTTTAAGCATATACTTTGGCTTGCAGTATATGCTTGCCACTGGAGTCCTTTCTCTTTTGTGTTTTTTGTTTGTTTGTTTTTTCTTTTGGAGTCCTCTGAAGTCCCTGCATAACCAGTGGCTGGGATTCTGTGTTTTATAGTAGTGGCTCAGAGACATGCTATGAAGGAAAGGCACAGATAACAAGCAGACCTCCATGTTCCCCCTCTCATATTTCTACTCTTGTTTCAGTCATTCCTCTTGGAAAATACATGAGGTTTTTATTATTTACTCTCTGGGATTTGCCTGTTAAATTGTAAAATGGCGAGTTTCTTAATGGTGAGTCTCATGAATATTGCAGAGTAGAATAATTAAATGATTTGGGATGAAATGAGTTTTCCTTTCTATGTAATTTCCTGGTTTATCTATTTTTCTCATAATAACCACCTGACCAGGAAGCTTGAGTGGCATGAAGAATGTAAGAAAACTCCATTAGTGGTCATTTGTTTTTATTTTAGAATTTGTTAATTGGACACTTTGGCTGGTCTGTTTAATAAGATAAACTTTTGCCCTTTTATTGACTCAGATTTGAATACTCAGATTTGAATACATCTGCTTATGCACTTCTGCTCACCTGATTTTTTAGAACCAGATGTAAGTTCAGAGGAATCTGTCTCCACTGTAGAGGAACAAGAGAATGAAACGCCACCTGCCACTTCGAGTGAGGCAGAACAGCCAAAGGGTGAACCTGAGAATGAAGAGAAGGAAGAAAAAAAGTCTTCTGAGGAAACCAGAAAGGAGTAAGGAGTTATGTCTTCTTGCTATTTATATTTGAAGAATGTGTAAAGACTATGGATCAGATTGTTTTAAAGTGTTGCAACATTTGTTTATGCTAGGTGTTTGCTATTTGGATTTAATTTTTAGAATTACCATTTGAAACAGGCTTATTATATAATTGTATGACCTGCTAGAATTTGCTGTAGTTAGCAGAACACTATGGTTTGAATAATCCAAAGGCCTTTCTCTTTGGCTTTGGAATGTGTTTTTGAGCTTATAATTTGTTGTGGAGTGTATCTGATATTTTAAGCATTGGCAACACTTCAGTAAGAAATGAAAATAACTATAAAAATCTGACCTAGAAGACATTTCACTATTTTATTCCTACCTCTGTGCCAGGAATGGATTGGTTTTGTGTGCTTTCATTAGAAGGCATTAGTCTGTATCAAGCCATTGATAGTGTGACCTGAAAGTCTATATATGTTTGCTGAAGTAGTCAATTGAAGAAGTGACTTTGAAAATCTGAAAGTCAAATTTACTACTGATGTGTATCTATATAAGGTGATGGCAGTTACTTTTTAATTTTAATTTTTTTTTTTTTTTTTTTTTTGCAGGAGAGCTGGTAGTAATTATTCTACTCTTTTTTCATAATTGGTCAGAACAGTTAGAAATTACTTTTAAATATAATCATGCATTGCTTAACAATGGGTATACATTCTGAGAGATGCATTTTTACGCAATTTCATCATCGTGCCAACATCATAAAGTGTACTTATGCAAACCTACATGATACAGCCTACTGCATACCTAGGCTTTATGGGATAGTCTGTTGTTCCTAGCTAAACCTTTATAGCATGTTACTGTACTAAATACTGTAGGCAATTATAACACAATGGTAAGTATTTATGTATTTTAAACATAGAAAAGGTACAGTAAAAATACAATTTAAAGGATAAAAAATGGTATACCTGTATAGGATACTTACCATGAATGGACCTTATAGGATTGGAAGTTGCTCGGTGAACGAGTGGTAAGTGAATGGAAAGGCCTAGGGCGTTATTGTGTTCAAATGTAGACTTTATAAACATTGTATCCTTAAGCTACACTAATTTTATTAAAAGATTATTTTTATTTCTTCAATAATAAACCTTACCTTACTATAACTTTGTTTTAATTTTTTTAACTTTTTGACTCTTGTCAAAAGTTTAAAACACAACACATTACACAGTTGTACAAAAAGTATTGTTTAATTATTTTATAAGCTTTTTTCTGTGTAAAAAATTATTTATTTATTTTCAAATATATGTATACTTTTTTCTTTTTAAAAAAGGAGTTTCACCATGTTCGTCAGGCTGGTCTTGAACTCCCAACTTGAGGTGATCCGCCAGCCTTGGCCTCTAAAGTGCTTGGATTACAGGTGTGAGCCACCACGCCCGGCCCTAAAAATTTTTTATTTTTAAAAAACTTCTAAACTTTTATTAAAAACGAAGACACAAGCCATACGCAGTGATGCACACCTGTAGCCTTGTCTACTTAGGAAGCCAAGGTGGGAGGATTGCTTGAGCCCTGAAATTTGAGTCTAGGTTAGGCAACATCATGAGACCTCATATCTATAAAAAAGCAAAACTAAGACACAAACACACACTTTAACCTATGCCTGCACAGTGTCAGGGTCATCAATATCACTGTCTTCCACCTCCAGATCTTGTCCCACTGGAAGGCCTTCAGGAGCAGTAATATGCATTGACCTGTCATCTCCTATGATAACAGTGCTGTCTTTTGGATAGCATTGTTCTGAAATACCTGATTTGAGTCTGTTTTACAGTTAACTTTTTATTTTTTTGGATGGAAAGCATGTACTCTAAAATAATGATAAAAAGTATAGTAAACCCATAAACTAGCAGTATAGCCATTTATTATTATTATTATGTATTATATATAATTGTAATGTGCTACTTTTTTTTTTGAGATGGAGTCCCACTACGTCACCAGGCTGGAATGCAGTGGCATGATCTCAGCTCACTGTAACCTCCGCCTCCTGGGATTAAGCAATTCCCCTACTTCAGCCTCCTGAGTAGCTGGGATTACAGGTGCACACCACCATGTGCAGCTGATTTTTGTATTTTTAGTAGAGATGGGGTTTCACCATGTTGGCCAGGATAGTCTCGATCTCTTGACCTCGTGATCCACCCACCTCAGCTTCCCAAAGTGCTGGGATTACAGGCGTGAGCCACCACACCTGGCCAGTGTGCTATATTTTTATATGCCTGGCAGCACAGTAAGTTTGTTTATACCAATGTCACCACAAACAAGTGAGTAGTGTGTTGTGCTGTGATACTATCACAGCTATCATGTTAACCAGGTAATAGGAGGTTTTCATTTCCTTTATAATCTTGAGACCATTGTTGTATATGTGGTCTGTCGACTAAAATATCGTTATGCAGCACATAACCATAAAAGAATAACTTAGTAATAACAATACCTTCTGGGATCTTCAGCGTATTCTTTATCTGAGTTTCATAGGTATAGCTAAGGTCTGTGGAATTTGTAGCAACTATCTGTGTGTGTGTGTGTGTGTGTGTGTGTGTGTGTGTGTGTGTATTTTTAATAGAGATGGCGTCTCATTATGTTAGCCAGGTTGGGCTTGAACTCCTAGCTTCAGGCAGTTCTCCAACCTCACATCCCCAAATTGCTGGGATTACAGGTATGAGCCACTGCACCCAACCTATCCTATATTTTTTTTTTTTTTT